CAGCAGGGGGAAAGTAATGCTTCACCTCCTTTTTCTCCAAAGGGTTCTTTGCATAAAAATTCTTTTTGTAAAATGCAGACACAGGCGTTGGTGGAAACACTCTGGTGATGCCAGGCCAGCCACCTGACTAGGGGGGTAAAAGTTTCCTTCAGCCCATCTGGCCAGGTCATTTTGAAGCTTGGAATCTGCGGGGAGGAGGCCAGGGCAATGGAGGTGGGAGCTGCAGGCCGGGGCAGGGGAATCGTGGGCTTGAGGAAGGAACAGCAGCCAGTGCTGGCCACTCAAACCCTTCCCCTGCCAGGAGTGGTTATGCCAGTCAGGCCTCAGGAAGAAATCTGCCCAGGCCACTCCTACCACCCTCCCTGAAAAGCAAGTTTTGGGCAAAGCACAAAGTCATTGAGTCTTCTGCTTCCTCTTCTGTCTGGGTCTCTGTTTTCCAAGTCAGAAACGCTAGGAGAACAAGGTCTTTGCTGGCATACTTCAGACCCGCGTGGTCCCCAGTGGGTTACCCTTGGCGCTGTGCTGCCACCCATAGAGAAACCCAAGGCTCAGAGGGGTTAACAGGCCCCGGGTCACACGGCTGACAGCATCCACATCAGAAGCTGGTTTTCTGATTCCTGTTCCAGTATTCTTTCCATGCGACACTGCCTCTGTGATTTCTGTTTGCATCACACTTCAGCCTTGGAAAGCCAGGATGGGTAGACATATGTTGAACTGGAAGACGGAGCACCACATTCACACACAAGGAAGCTGCCACCCGAGGCCGGGTCTTCTCCCCTGCCAGGATCTGTGCATCAGATTGAAACCCACCTGGAGGGGGAGCTCCAAGTGCTGTAGGATGGTGTGGGAGAGGAAGCAGTGGCCAGGGAAGACCCCAAACCACCTTGCCTTCTGGTTTCGGCACAGAAAGTTCTATCTTTCTGCAGCTGTTTCCTCTTTCAAGGTGAAGGCATGGGGGGGGGCGGTGGAAGGGAATAGGGAGCTATTGTCCAGTGAGCACAGAGTTTCGTTTGAGATGATAGAAAGTTCCGGAAGCAGATGCTGATGCCTGCATTTGGAAAGTCTGATTTGTATCCCAGTTGGAAATTTCCTACAAAATCAGCTTCACCTTCCCAAGTGCTTGCTCTCACTCACCTTTCAGAACCTCCTCCTACAGGACCCCCTCCCCATTCTCACTCCCAAGCTGGCCTATGACAGGGTAATGTCTAGAGTTGGTCTGTGTCATGGAGCAGGTGCACGCGGAACGGCCAGGGCAGAGGCGGAGTCTTCTTGGGATCACAACAACCTCTTACTCTGATGGACTGACTTTCTCTGCTACAAGGAGTACTGGGCTTTAAAAAATAAGCTTGCATGTGTGCAGCTAACCAGACTTGACATAAAAGCTGGCCTGAGAGTCCTTATCCTCCAAGACAAAGACCTAAGACTGGGTAGCTGGTGTAGGCCTTTTGACCCTGTTGTGAGAGGTAGGCAGGTGGCTGCCCTGGGGATGGGGTGCAAGAAGGCAAGAACTGACAATCCTCAACTTTTCAGAGGTGGTATGGGTGTGGGAAGCTGCCTCGCCTGGGCAGGAAGAGAAACCCAGTAGAGTCCAGGAAGGAGCCAGACTTCTTACAGATGGACATGGACTGAGTAAGGGCAGATGCTGACCCTGGGTCAAGCCCTGGCTCCGGCCTGGGGTCTTATTGAAGACACGGGGCGCAGGGGTGGGAGTGAGGCAGCTGGCAGGCTGGCATGTGCTTCCCAGCCCAGTAAAAGGCAATCAGCAGCCTCTGCCGTACTGGAAAGAAAACAAATCTCAACTTGTTCCCAAGGAACTGTCGTGTTTCACTTTTAGCCTTATTTGGCTCCTCTTCCATAAAGAAACATGTCTCACATACAATTCCTGCCCCTCGCTCCTACCCTCAAAGTTTAACCAGTGCAAGGTAAAGCTGAACTGTGTGGACAGACACTCATCATTTCTGGAAGAGTTCTCCATGAGGCGTGGTCACAGATGGGCAGGAGGCGTGGCCACAAGGGGATGGTACAGACCTAGAGCCAATCCTGCATGGCTGGCGGTGCTGAGGCTGGGAGTGGGGCTGTACGTGAGAAGTCACAAGTCTGTCTCTCCAGCGGAGGAAGGAGGACGTGGGTGTTAGAGCAGACTCATCTCTCATCAGTGATGTGGGAAAGCTTGGCTTCCCAGGGTTCAAGGTGTTTCATTCTCCTTTTATGTAGCTTTCAAGGATGTGCCTTTCTCCCCAAAACACTAGGATGGGGCAGGGACATAGGCCACCCCTGAGGGTAGCAAGAAGCTGGTGTGTTACAAGAGAGACGGCCCAAGATTGCCCCTTACAGGAACCCAAACTGACGTGGCTCCTGCAGAGGCAGAGAGGAGAGCCCACCACAGCTGGCACTGGAGCCAACACACCGGCGTGAGGTCAACGGCGCCAGTCAGCGGGGCAGCTTTCACACTTATACCTGGCCCGCGGTGAGCGTGCAGGGTGCGCGGTGCCAGGATGGCAGCTGGGTTGCAGGTCGCACAGGCCAGGGGAGCTGCAGCTCAGCTCGTTCAGAGCACAGGACGCGCTCCCAACGAGACGACACCTGTGGCCGCATCATGTTCTCAAGGGTGTGGTTGGCGGCCATCTGGAGTCTGGGAAAGTGATCACGCTGGCAGTGAGTAGCAAGAGCCTCCCTCTTGTATTGCAGACTGGGCCTTTAGGGTGTAGCTGCCTTCAGGATGCACTTCGGCAAGCCGTTTTCTTCTACGGTGTCGCACTCTCGCTCCGCTTGAGAAAATTCCCACGCTGAACAGGTTGTCATTCTCTAACCTGTGTGTTTTCTCCATAGTATTCGTGTCTGCAAATGCTGAGCTAGCAGGGCCAAGATGTCTGCTTTCCCTCTGCCCCTGCTCATGTGCTCCAAGTTAATTTCAAAAGGACAACTCACTGGAGGTTAGAAGGGTCCCACAGAACACACAGGGCTGCAAGCACACCTGTTACCAAAACCTTGGGTTAAGCAGGATATTTGCAGCTGCCAGCCACACGTCCTCTTGAGAGTTCTGGTTAATTGAAATCTCTGCCTAAAGGAAATTCGAAGCCTCCACTCTACATGTCCACATGGACATGCACCAGCAAATTTTGGTTTTCCTCTCGTCAGCATGAACATCCTAATGTCTGCTCGTGCATCCCACAGCACCTTGTGGGGACCCATCTCACTCAGCCTGCACAGGCTCAGATGACTAAGAACCTTAAAAATGTGTCCAATTCATGAAGCAGGGCTGAGTGTGTGTGTGTGTGTGTGTGTGTGCACATGCTTTTTCTTATCCGTATGTAGCATGGAACATCTGGCTACATCCGTGTGTGCTGATCACTTGATCCCATATCCCTCTGTGGTCACTTCTTCCTTTACAGAGCAGAGTGGGATACTCATTGGTCTCCCCTCGGTCCACCAGGGCTGGACAAGGTCCCCATTGCCTTCCAGAGCACAAACCCCTGGCCTTCTCGCTCCCTTTCTCCAACGTTCCTCTACTTGCAGCTGACAAACGCAGGATATGCCTGGACATACAGATGCATGTAGCATCTACAAGCTGACAGGTGGGGGCTCCACGGGAGCAGGTGCCTACTCTATGAACTGCAAGCAACGGAGAGCCACACATTTCCCTCGGCTTCCTCGTTCTCTCAGGTACATTTAGGCTATGGATGTCATATCCGCCTCTTTCCTCAGTGGAGCACTGTGTGGATCCACACCTGCCAGGCCGAGCTCTGTGACACCCAGCTACACCAACAGTCACAAGAGACCATTTTTATTCTGGGGTAACTCCCACTTTCAGCCACTTGCCTCTGACCTGATCCAATCCAGTTGGCTTCTTCCCAGCTGACTTACCGGTTCTTAGGCCTCGTGGTCTCTCTTGGGTATTGTGGTGGCAGATTTCTTTGGGATTAGGTCAAATTGGAATAAGAACAATAAACGTTCACCTAGTTAAGCAAAAAGCCAAGGGCTATACAAAGGAACGGTTTTAAAAACATATTCTGTTTTGTGCTTAGATAAAATTTCCAAACTTTTATCCATGCTTGGGGGTAGGGGTCCTAATTTGGAGGAGGGCATTACAATTTACCCTGCAAGGCAGAGTGGCAAAGAAAGTCAGCTCCAGGTTTGCTCTAATTCTCTAGGGCCTATAAATGTTTGATGATGTCTCTCACTGGCAAACCAAGTAAAGGCCACACTTCTGAGAAGCCAGGGGGCTAAGAGGAGTGGGCAGTGGACTGGAGGTTCCATGTTGGTAGAGGCGCTGCTACCACTCCCACATTCCCTCCTGGAGCGTGGGTAAGGCCTCTGTGTGGCCCAGTCTCAGCCTCTCCAGAGAGGCCTCTGCCAAGGCTCCGCGATGGCAGCCTTCCCCAGGGCTTCTTTTCTTCCGCAAGGTGGGCACAGCCACTGCAAATGAGCTCTGGGGACCGGACCAAGGTGTGCTCTCAGGCTGCACAAACATGCCTGCTTTGCTACCAGCTGGCTACACACAGTGACAGATCAATAGCCGCAGCCGCACGGAACCCATGGGTGGGGGGTGGGGGACAGTGGCCAGCAGTGGAAGGAAGGAAAACAGGGGAAGGGGGAGGGAAGCACAGAGGGAGAAACTAACGAGGTTCTTGCTTCTAGCTGGAAGCCAATCGCCCTTTATAGTGCTGCTTTCCATGCACACGGCTTCCGAGTTTCAAATACTGAAGTAGGACATTCTCTACACAAAGCCAAACACCAACAAAGAAAACTTTCAGCAAACATCAGTGAAAACGTCAACTTCTCTGTTTTTAAAAATATATCTAGAGTTTCTCGCCACCCCCTCCCCCAAATCGACTAAGTTTTTAGTTTGATTTTTTTAAGAAATTGTGATGGGACAGCCAGATGTGCCCGATGCCCCAACGTATCCTGGCATGGTTAGTCAATGTGGCGCGGTCACTGTTACAGAATACATCAACAAAGGCAATCAGTGAGCAAAAGAGGACAACAATAGCTGCTTCTACCTCCATGCTAGTATTAGGGTCAAGATCATCACACTCAGACTCCTCGGAACTGTTCGTCTCCTTGGTTGGCAGCATGAGGAAGGGGGAAGAAAGAGAACACAGTTAGAACACAAGCAGCTTTTGGTGGAGACAGAGGAGCACTTCAGAGCAGCATGGGCAAGGGGAAACTGGGCAGAGAGAAAACCGGGTGCTTTTCAGGTGAGGGCGCCAGTCGCCGAGGGCAGCAGCATGCTCTTGTCATGAGCGGGGCTGGGACTGTGTGTGACCGCGGATCACAGTATGAAATAGCAATGGAAGCAACCGAATGGAGCAGGAGTGCCGTGGGACTTAAACTGCTGTCTTCCGTGAGGCTGGATGTCCTGGGTGAGGGTGAAGGGGGCGAGAATTTCTTTTCCCCAAGAAGGACGTTTGAATGGTTTCAGTTGTTCTTACTTTGTTCAGCAAACAAAGCGCCAGGCGGATAATCACGTATTACAACAGCACGAAAAAATCAGTGCCTAATTTCCATTGTCTAGAGGCAGATCTTTCCAGAGGGCTGAGTTTACAGAAAACAGATTTTTATTGTTCAGGATGAGGGAAATCAAGGTCTGCCCAGTGTAGACTCAATCAGCGAGTTCAAAGTAATGGATGGGTTATTACCAAGCGGAGGGCATCACCAATGTGGGGGAGGCAAGAGAAGTGGCCTAGAGTTGATGTCGTCTGAACTCTGGGGAAAAGAAATGAAACTTTGCCAAGGACACAGTGGCCCTCAGATTCCAAACCTCAGCCTTCACCGGGTTGGGGGTTTGGAAGGCACCCCTAATCTCTGTAAGCTGTATGTGTTCTCAAACCTAGGCTACCGTGTAGGCAGCGCTGAGGGACTGAATATGAACCAAGCATCTTGCACGTCTAAGAGAAGAATGCTGCAGATAATTTCACTATAAAACATCTGCACAGTAAAAGAGAAAGGTATAAAAGAAAACAAAGGAGGTACTTACTTGAATCGAAGTAGCCAGGAGAAACAAAAAATGAAAAATAAATTGATCTTGCATGCAAATTCCTGCTAAACTACTTCCCCTTTCCTTCCCGAACCGGGACAAATAAAGATCCCCATCCACCCAAACTGCCTCGTGAGAATGCTGCAGGGTGGGAGTGGATGAGAGGTGGGACACAGCTCCGGAACTCCTTACTCACTTTAACAGAGACTTTGTTGCCCAGAATATCCTTGGGTTTACGAGGCCCTGTGGCTTCATTTTTACCCGTGTTCTCCACTTCCGCCCGCTTTCTCATGCGTAGAGTATGCCATGAACATGACTTCCTGTTGTACCAAAAAATGCACCAATCAAAATGGCAGCTCAGGGCAAAGTGAGGTGGTGGGGTTGAGTCAGCAGGTGAGGCACTTCCGTCAAGCCCGGCTTCAGAGCCCCCAACCTGCATGCCAGCTCCTGCAGAGCCTGACTTCACCGCCGACGGTGAGTGACCGTGGATGAACTCGGATCCCTCCTAACAGATGCCCACTGGGGACTGCAGCATTTGAAGACATGGTGAGTACCAGGTTCCTCAAAACCCTCCCCAGTGGGAGGCAGAGGATACTGGCCACGCCTGATAGCACTAAGGAGATCCCCTCTGATGGCATGGTGGATGGGGGAAGAGCAGGGTCAGGGCTGGAGCAGGAAATGCAGGGGAAGTCTGTGCTACACTGGATAGGCCACGGTGCTTTCCCATGACCAGACACACAGACCCAGAAGTCTGACTTTGAGGTTTCCAGCTCATTACTCGTGTTACAGCATGAGCACTCCCAAACACTGCAGGACAGAAGGACTTTTCTGGTGCATATGACTTCATAGACAGTTGAACACTACTCATTTATCTGGACATTTTAGGGTAAAGGGTTCCCCAGACTATACCCTAGAAGGCCTGGAACTTCCAAGTTGGGACAAGACCCTATACGTGCTCCCAGGGAGGTGGGAGTGGTGATGCCCTTTCACACCATCTTGGCTTCTTTCTTCCCACAAATGATTTGGGAGCTACTTCTTCAAAGAAAGACGGAAGCTAAGAGGGACCAGTGTTGTGGTGCTGCAGGTTAAGTCGCTGCTTGTGATACCCTCATCTCTTATTGGAGTGCTAGTTTGTGTCCTTGCTGCTCTGCTTCCAATGTAGCTTCCTGTTAATAAGCTTGGGAAGACAGTGGAAGACAGTCCATGTAATTGGGCCTCTGCCACTCATATGTCAGAAACCAGAATGGATTTCCTAGCTCCTGGCTTTGGCCTGGCCCCAGATCGAGTTGTTGCAGACATTTGGGGAGTGAATCAGTGAATGGAAGAGCTCTCTGTCACTCTGCCTTTTAAATAAATAAATGTTTTTAAAAAGTTGCACACATATACGTAAAAGAGAAGCTCAAAGTAAAGCTCCTGAGTTCCATATACATCAGGACTCAGTCAGCAAAAGCCCAGTCACAAACAGCACTGGTGGCTCGGAGCAGGCACTACCAATTCCGAGTGTGGTCACCGGATTTGGATGAAGCTTTAAGGATTGTCTGGCTTCCCCTTGGTTCTCAAATGTAGGCCTATGCGGACAGGGCTCCATGACAAGAGCCGTCATTAAAGGGAGAGCCCTAGGCAATTTAGGAAAAAGGAGAATACTCCAAGATACGGACTAGCTCCACCACCCGTCTCCACTATGTCAGGACTTCCAGGATCTCCTGAGGAAGGTGTCCCAAAAACACATTATCACCTAACACACAAGCTCGAGAGGTGACCTGGAAGGACAAAGCAATCATGGCCATGTTCTCGGGTGTTTGGAAACAGGGCTCCTTCAGGCCGGGCCTTCTCTGTGCCTGCAAGGTGGGCCGGCTGTCAGGGACCCCTACAACCCAGCACCTTCTGCAACTGCTGTGTCTGAGAATCAGTCATGGAAGCTAACCTTTGATGTTACCACTCTGTTAACTTCTAACTTCCATCACCCATCTGTAACCTCAAATCCCTGTCTCTTGCTCCAGTCAAGTCAGCACCTGTCAAAAAGACCCTTAGCACAGACAGCACAGCATGCCTGTGTGTGTGTGTGGGGGGGGGGGGTTGGGGGGTTGGGGGGGATGGGCTGTTCCCATATTTATTGAAACCTTCTGGGCCATTCCGTATGCTTGGTGAGAAATGAGAGGTGTTAAAAATAGCATTCAGGAGGAAGGCTCAGAGCATGGTAAGTGGCAGGAAAGGTTCAATTTCAGATCCTTGTTCCCAGAAGAGCTCATCATCATGGTTTGGGGAGCCTCCATCTCTTGGCCACAGCCTGGGGACTGATGTGGACACACGGCTTCAGTGACATTTATCCCGTAGGCATCATAACCAACTCTGACCCCTGTGGTCACAGCAGGCCTCTGTGGAGAGTGTGCTGAGTGTGCTTCCTTGATAAACATGACAGCCACTTGGGAAAGAGTGGCTGACAAGAAACCAAGATGACCAATGTGCATTTTCATCTGTGCTCTTTCCCCAGCTTGGCACCCTCCGACCTCTCTTCCCGTGGAAGGTACAAATAAGTGGCCAGCAGACCCGAAAGTAAGGAGGAGGAAGGGCTTACTGCCTGGATCGTTAGAGCATGAATCAGTAAGAGTTAGCTCTGCAAGGGTCTTGATTAATAAGAACTTCAGTGCTTTGAGGGCCTTTATTCCCAGGGCTTCTTAAAAGACACCCCCCCCCCCCAACAAGTCCTTAGAATAAAATTAGTTGGCCCATTACACCTTAGGGGCCACCACGCATTTCCAGCTGGGCCTATGGTTAGCTGGCGAGGCCAGGGTGCTGTCAGTAGCCTCTATGTCCCTGACCCAGAGAATGGGCCAAGGCAGTAACGCTCTGCTGGTGCCACTGCTCAGGGTCCTGCAGGAGCCTCCTCCACCCTGGGTGACCACCTTCCACGGGTGAGCGGGCAGAGTGGAGGGCGGCTGCGAGTGCGAGCCAAACCTGGCCCCTACTCTTCAGTTGTTCACTGACGTCAGCACCTCAAGGTTGCCCAGTTGCTGGGACGCTCTGGACAGCATCCAACCTGCATCATTCCTCATCTCAGAGGCTAGAGAACACCAACAGGGGGCCGCTTGAAAGGGAACACCAGGGTCAGAGCTCTGGTGACAGAGGCACCTTCTGCGTAGGAAAAGCTGCCCGTGTGTTCAACCGACTCCTAAAATACAGAAAAGGGGGGTAAAAAAAAAAAAAGGAATCCGAGAATAGTGAGATGGGGAAAAAGGGTCAGCTAGTGTTCAGCTCATTAAAACATGCTCATGGTGCAGATTTATTTTACATATTTAAAATAGTACATTTAAAATTACTAGTTACATTACAGGTACAATGATGAACATTGTGACTCTCCACCGTATTGCACAGCCTGACTTCATCCAAATGGGTCTCTTTAAATAGTGCAAAACACTTTATACAGGAATGTGTTCAGAAGGGTCTTCACAACCAAATGAAGGAGAAGAAATATCTTACAAATGACCATGAACATATATTAAAGTGACAGGGGAGAGGGACATTAAAAAAGTTACAATCTGTACACGGAGGAATTGCCACAGACGACCAAAAAGTTCCCTTTCTCCTGGGAGAAGCAGCAGGCCTCTGACCAAGACAGGTCTGGCGTTTGTGCTAAGGTAAATTTTTGGTGTCAATCAAAAAAAAATATATATATATCCATAACTTCATACAATATAAATAGAAGTCCAGTCCAGTGAGTCCTGTGGTGGGGCAAAGGTAGCAATGGAAGGCATGCCTTGTGTCACCTAGGGTTTCAGTAGGGTTCTTTTCTTAGCAAGTTGGGGAGAAAAAAAAGAGAAAAAAATGAACAGAAAATTATAAACGAAAAGGAAAGACAAACCACCGCCACCACCACCAACCAGACACCGGAACGATTCAGCCTGGATGCCCACACATGGGGTCCGGCATTCAAACCTTGACTCCAGTGGCACTGTCGAGAGTAAGCAGCAGTAATTCCCTACTATGTGTTCTGCTGTTTGTTTCTGACTTTATAAAATCCACATACTCCTTTCCCGGGCAAGCCAACGAGGCACTTACTTGATGCTCCCGTCACTATTTTCTGCTGCGGCTGCTGAGGCTTTGGTGAGGGGCGCCAGGATGCTGCCCGGGACCCAGCCCTCGGCCGCAGGGGATTGGTCGCTGGCGGGCTGGTACACCAGGCACATGTTCTGCTGGTTGACGGTGAGGACCTGGACCACCTCACCTTGGCTCACACAAATTTCATTCTCCTTCAGTGCATAGTAATCTTTGATCACAGCCATGGATGAGCTCCCGTTGCAGCTTCCCACGTCAGCCTGCTAGGAGGTGAGGGTGAGAGGGACACAAACAGAAGGAGGCTGGTTCACGTGGGCTTGCTCTGCATCTGGCTGCACAGCTAAAGGCCGAATCTCATCCAGCAGCAGGGTGAACACGGGCTGACTCTTGGGCAGTGACAGTGTATTCATGAATGCTCTGGACGAGTCCTCTTTATAGCAATGTCTCATACACTATTATAATCAGGGCTGAATATGTAGAGATACTGCCCCAGCCTCAGGCTGGGCAAAGGCACAAACCCACTTCTAGCATGTGACCTCCCAGCCAACATCCTCTCACTAATGGAAAGAACAACCTGGCACTGGCATAGGGATGCCTGTGCACCTGGGCAGAGTAAGGTCAGGGTAAAGTCCGGTCAGGCATCATAATCCTCCAATGGAAATACACAGACTTTGATACAACAGTTTTTTTTTTTCTTTTGAAAAACCATTGGCCTTACTCTATATTCTAATCTTCCGTAAGAAAAAAGTAAGAATGACACCGCTGCCCAACTGAAAGACAACACGGTGACCTGCCCTGCCCTGCCTCCCTGTGGGAAGAGAACCCTAGAAGTCACAGCCTCCTGCCCTGAACTTGCTGTCAGGGGGCGGGGCTGCCTTTATACAGGAGTCTGCACCAGCGTAGCTGCTCCTAGACAGACCTGTGACTCCTACGGAGGCCTGGCTGCCTCCTAGAACATGGCAGAGCCCAAATTGCTTCAATATGTTTGGCAAAATGCCAAAATGACTTCAGCTTGTTCACAGGGGGCAGAGGGTTTCACAGTGGAAGAGCATTTCTGGTGATAAGATGAAACAGGTTGGTACAGATACTCCAATACGGAACTGGACTTGGACATGAACTAGTTTTCATAAATCAGTATCAACTAATAATTTAGGAGAAAATAATAAAAATACAAAATCAGAATAAGTAAGTCAAAAACATAGGTGTTCCTACTAATCTACTGAGTTCTAGAAGAAACTGAGGCCTGATGAAGCTAACTAACTTGCTAAGGTTCTACAGCGAGTTGCAGAATTTCAAATAGAAATTAGATTGCCTGGTTCCTAACCTAGCACTCTTCCCATCCTCTCCTGTCCCTACTATCTTGTAGGGTCAAAAGGAGCTAGGTAGACTAGATCTATGGAAAGTCCAGGAGTATCCCGTGGTGATGTCTGAACGGTGGATTACCCATGATAACTGTTTAACCCGAGACTGGCATTTCCCATTCACACGTGGATGATCAGCTTCCCCTTCCATATCAGCCAACAGACGGGGAAGAGCCGTGAGGTGACTTCAGCAGGCAGGCAATCTCTTTGTAAATCACGCTAGAGTTGTGACTTTTAGATGACCTACACTACAGCTTCTCCGCATGGTCCACATCGTCCATTTTCATGAGTGCCATCATAATAATGCTTTCATCTTTAACGTTTCTGTAGATGATGCTAGCTGCTTAACACATTGTGCTGTGCCTGAGGGGATGGGTTTAACTCACTCAACTTACAGGGGAAGACAGAGAAATAATCGAGAGTATTTAGTGGACTGCTCCCGCTAAAACAGCACACAAAGATGCTGTTTCCTAAAGTGACCTCTGAGGCTGTGTCCTCAGTGTGACCAGGGTGGGAATAGTCAGCTGTCACTCACCTTGCTGCCCTCGAACTTGTCCCCAGGCTGGTGGTAGTCGAACCCTGGACTGCCATTGGAGGTAGATATCTTCAGGGGTGGCAGAGATGGGTTATAGCTGGAGCCCTTTGGGGGCTTCTCAGAGCCCACAGGGACAGAGGAGTAGGGCCTGGGGCTGGCTTGGGGCGCCCTCGCAGGCTGGGACCTCATCACGGCTGTGCTCCTCTCCTTCCGCTGATACTCAATGGGCGACTGGAGCGCTGCAGGGTGAGAGCAGATGGTCACTCTAAGCTCCGGGAATCCCACAAGGATTTGGAGACCTGTGAGGTTCAAGGCTTTGTGCCGGGCTAATGTGGATATGTGAGGAAGACACTACCCTTGTTTTTAAGAAACTGTGAGAATGAGGACACCTAGCTAAATCATGAAAATATGAAATACAAAAACAAGTTCCATTCAAGGTGCAGTGCTGTAGGTAAGGAGGGAGAGAAGGCGCTGCAGGATGGGGCTGTGTAGGTGAGCGGGTGTGGGTGGTCGTGGGGGTGCTGAGAAAGAGCTTCAGAGGCGGGCTGAGGACAGCCGGACTGGAGGTGGGCCCAGGAAGGAAGCAAGTGCGGCGCGCCTGTGGGGGGCAGGATGCAGTCAGATTACCTGGGCAGGGGCCACAGGTCTCCACGGAGGAAGAGGAGATGAAACAGTTAAGGGGTGTTTGAGTGCCATGGTATGAAAGATCTAGAAAAGCAGGCCGAGGGGGCTGGACTTGCTGACGATCATAAAGAGTGGCTAGATTCAATGAACTTGAAACTTTCAAATGCGATTCTGTCATCAGAGCCACAGTTGAGGGACCTCATTTGGTCGCAGTTCGGAGGAAAGGAAGAGATGAAAGGCTTCTGGTCCTGGGCAGAGGGTCTCCCCGGAGCAGGGCTCCTGAGAGTGTGCCAGGGCAAGGGAATTCACGACACTGCCTGCCTAGCTGGGACAAAGAGGCAGGAATGGAAGAGGGAGAAGTGTGGGCAGCAGGACGCAGACGACAGGAGAACGGCTGATTGAGTGGGAAGCACGTGAACTTTGTTTTACTGAGTCTAAGATAACAAAGTTCCAGGATCTGAAAACTAAAGAGGTACAGCCAGGCAAATGCCACAGGTCAAATTCTGTAAGAACGACTTCAAGGGTTGGCCTGATTACGTCGCTTTTATCAGTAGTCACGGTAACAGCTATTTAAGTGGGTTACCAGCTGGGACCCAGAGACCTTTCAGTTGTAACAGCATTTCTACAGTGATACATATATACTTCAATGGACTCAACACAGGGTCACAATTCCTTTCCACCTGAGGTCTCAGGAGGGGAGCACTGGCTTGGAGCTGCCTGCATGCGTCTTTGTAAGTAAGAGCCTGGCCCTGGTCCCTCAACACCTCCTTGTCCCTGGAGTGTGTCAAAGTATCCAACAGGCCTGGGAGCTCAGCCTCCCCGCCTGGGGAGCTTTCTGTGGGCATTCAATGTTTAGGGAACGATAACCTAGTTCAGTAACATCTTCACAATTTGCTCTTGGAACCGTGTAGGAGTTGAATCACTGGCTCTGCCTACGGAAATGCAGTTCCAAGTTTTAAGTACATAGAGAGGAGCTATGAACTAGGTTCTATCAAACTGACTTCATGAATCAGCCAATAGCCATCATGAGGAACAGGGGTACTATCTGATTCTATGCCTTAACCTTGCTAAAGCATTTGAAAATAGTCTGTCTTCTTAATCCTCCTAAGCTGCACGGAAGACCAGCATTCATTCAATTTTCTTAACAAAGGTCTTAGGATAAGGAAAGCTGTGCATCTCTGACCAAGTTTGTTTCTGGCATTGCATTCAAAAGGCAGAGTGATGTGTGTGTGTGTATGGATCTCACATCTGCCACTGGACTCCCCAAATGGTTGCAATGGCCAGCACTGGGCCAGGCCAAAGCCAGGAGCCTGAAACCCCATCCAGATCTCCTATGTGTGCGGCAGGGGCCCAAGGACTTGGGCCATCTTCTGCTGCTTTCCCAGGTGCATCAGCAGGGAGCTGAATCTGAAGTAGAACAGCCTGGACTCCAATATGAGATGTTGGTGTCCCAAGCAGCGGCTTAACCCTCTATGCCACAGTGCCAGCCCCAAGGGTACAGTCATATGCCTGATCCTGTTTCTTTCTTTGCTTTGTTCATTAGGGAGCTCATAAATCAATGTGTGTCCATTCATTAGCAATTATACTGTAGTTTTGTGGTTAAAAGCCTCACTTGAATTCTATAGCTCTAGGTTCAAGTCCTTGCTCTATCTGTGACATTGAACACATTTCTTAACCTCTCTTTTCCTTATTTACCTTTCCATGTTGACCTGAGGATTAAATGTGAATAAACATGTGGAACGTTTAGCACAGTGCCTGGCATAGAGTAAGGAACTTGATCCACGGAAGCCAGTATTGTCACTTTAATTATTTCTGGTTTCAACTATTACTCTATCTTATTGTTCTTCATCTTGAATTGATGAACTTAAAATCCTCATTCCAATTTAGAATCTGTAAGAAATTTCTAATAGAAAACAATTTAAATGGATGTATTTTATACATGTACATATTTTTGTTTAAAATTATCCTACTAATAACAGTGTTTATTCAAAGTTGAACATTCAGATATCATATACAACTTTCATAACCACCCCTCAAAGCTGGGCTGGTGCTTAACTACAGAGTTTTCAGAATGAAAAAGAACCTCACAGATCACTTAGCATACTATCGTTGCCAAACTTTTCTATGACCGGAACATAGGGGGCCCCAGCCCCCAAATACTTGGTGCATGAAACTGCTTTGAAATCTCATGTTCTATCTTAAACAGTCAAGGTGTACTTGTATAAAAACTCTTATTTCTTTAAACATAAAAAAATTGTGAGAGCTACCACTGACTCTCCTTTTCACAAAACGAGCCAAGCAGGACTCAGAAATGTTACCATCTGCTCAGCACCCCCAGCCGGCATGCCACCTTCTGCCTTTCCCTGGACTTTTAGTTCCATGCTGGATACTGGTCAAGAGCTGGACTGGCATCATTGGAAAGACTCCACATCCCAGTACTGGCAAGAAGAGGTGACATACCCAAGGGCATGTGTGTGTGTGTGTACACACATGTCTACACACATGAGCACATGCGGCCATGGAGTGCAGATCTCAGGTAGGCAACAAGCAAGGGGTACATCCGAAGGTGGTTCTGGGAACACATGTGTGTGTGCGCACACTGGGGTGTGCAGGCACACACACACGGACTTCTCAGCATTGTACTGATAAGAAGACACAGCACACCTAGGGGTGGTTCCATATGTGCTTGCTGAATCTCCAGGTTTACTTTGTTACTGGTTCCAATTTCCTTTCTTTCTTTCTTTTTTTTTTTTTTTTCTTTTACAGGCAGAGTGGACAGTGAGAGAGAGAGACAGAGAGAAAGGTCTTCCTTTGCCGTTGGTTCACCCTCCAATGGCCGCCGCGGCTGGCGCACTGCGGCCGGCGCATTATGCTGATCCGAAGGCAGGAGCCAGGTGCTTCTCCTGGTCTCCCATGGGGTGCAGGGCCCAAGCACCTGGGCCATCCTCCACTGCACTCCTGGGCCACAGCAGAGAGCTGGTCTGGAAGAGGGGCAACTGGGACAGAATCCGGCGCCCCGACCGGAACTAGAACCCGGTGTGCCGGCGCCGTAAGGCGGAGGATTAGCCTAGTGAGCCGCGGCGCCGGCTTCCAATTTCCTTTCAGCTTCAGAATCCATCCCTGCTCAAGAGACTTCTAAGTGCACCAGCTCAACGGCAGATCAACAGTATGTTAAGGCTATAAACCCCGTCATGAGCCAGGCTCGATGTGAAGAACATGCCAGCAGAGAAGAAACAAAGACACACAAACAAGGAGGTAACTCCACTTCAGTTCACCCCAGGGGCCTCCTGCAGGGCCTACAGAGCACTACACGCTCTGTGGAATCACCAATTTCTTCCAGGAAGCTTTCAGGTAGAGAGTAAGCATCTCTTATTCAAAATGCTTGGGGACAGACTGGAGTTCAGTTTTTCAAATTATGGAATGTTTGCGGAGACTTTATCAGTCAAGCATCCCTAATCTGGAAATCAGAAATCTGCAATGCTCCACAGCCCAAAACGCTTTAAGCATCAAGTCAGAGCTCAAGACGTTTTGGAATTCAGAGCATTTGCGTTTGGAGTTCTGGATTAAAGATGCTCCACCCGCACACCACTGAGAACTGGAGTTAGCAATCGCCTCTGCTTTGAAGGAGGCACGGTCAGCTAGCAATGTGGCTTACGCAGGATCTTGCACAATTGGGAGTGCAGGAGGAATCTGGACTGATGAGTCAAACTCTCAGTTATCTCCAGGATCCTCTAGAGAGCCCATGAGAACATCAGCCCTCACCCACCCGGGGGAAGAACACACGTCATTGCCCCTGACATGCAAGCACGTGTTCACCTTAGACTTCTGCTCCAGTGACTCTACCTGGTGGAGGGAGCCACAGGGCACACACGCTACATGCTCTGGGGGATGTCCCTTCTAGTGCCAAGGCAGGGCTTCCTGCACATCTCATCTGCTCCACGTGCATATTCAAGTTCAGAAGAATTCTGCAGTGCTCTGCAGACTGTAAACTGGTGTCCATACAAAACATGATCTGGTCTCATGGCTCAACATGAGCTCAGACCCAAGAAGCCCCAGGGTGTGGTGTCCCCTGAAGTGGCCCCAATAGAAGCCAGGTACATACCATTTAAGAAGTCGCGCTGTGTTTCCAGGACTTGGTTGATGTCCTGCACCCAGGCCTGCTGGATGTCTGCGTTGGCGGCTTGCAGAATGACCCTCTCGGAAGTCTCCCTGTTGATGAGTGCAAACTTGCAGGGGTCATTGTCCACATCCTCCTCCAGGACCAAGTAATTCATCTGGAAGAAAACAAGTTGATCCTTTTCATATGTATGTGGTTTGAAAAAATCAGTGACATATTACTATTCTGCCAGTTTTTTTTTTTTTAATTATTTATTTATTTATTTGAGAGTTACAGACAGAGAGAGGCAGAGATAAAGGTCTTCCATTCACTGGTTCATTCCCCAAATGGCTGTAATGGCCAGAACTGAGCCAATCCGAAGCCAGGAGTCAGGAGCTTCCTCTAGGTCTCTCATGCAGGTGCAGGGACCCAAGCACTTGGGCCATTCTCCACCTCTTTCCCAGGCCATAGTAGAGAGCTGGATAGGAAGAGGAGCAGCCGGGACTCCCATATGGGACACTGGCACTGCAGGCAGAGGCTTTAGACCACTCCGCCATAGTGCCAGCCCCTCTGCCAGGATTTTATGTCAGGAGAAGTTTCCAAACTTTACCTTGGATATAGGGAAATACTTTGGTTTCTGCCTTTGGTGAACAACATGTTCCCAGGGAAGACGTAGGATTGTGCTGGAGACTGGTCCTCGGCCCATCCCTTCTTTTTCACTGTCTTTCCTTCAAGCAGTTGCATTTTGGGGATTTTCTTTTTTTAAATGATTTATTTTATTTATTTGAAAGGCAGGGTGACAGAGAGAGAGGGGGAGAGACAGGGAGAGATCTTGTATATACTGGTTCATTCCCCAAACAGCCACAACAGCCAGACCAAAGCCAGGAGCTCCATCAAGGTCTCCTACGTGATGGCTTAAGCAATTGGCTGCTTTCCCAGGTGCATTGGCAGGGAGCTGGATGGGAAGTGGAGCAGCTGGGACTAAAACTCATGTTCATATCAGATGCTGGCCTCATAGGCAGCAGCTTAATGTGCTTTGCCACAGTACCAGCCTTGTTTTGGATTTTTGGATTAAGAATGCTCAACCTGTACTACTAAAATTTAAAGTTAGCAATGACCTCTAAGGCTGAAGGATGGGCTGAAAGATCTCCCAGGTTCTGTATCCTCACCACCCAGAGCCTGCACTTAGGAAAGCAACTCCCATGAATCTGGCTCCTCCTTGCTTCTCCTCCTCCCCCTGGAAGCCTCACCTTGATGCTCCTTTTGAACATGTAGCCTGGGGTCAGGGAGCCCTTCCTGAGCAGCTCACTGAAGATGACGATCTGTTCGAAGAGGAACACACGTCTCTCCTTGGTCCGGGACTGCATGCCTGCGTCCAGCTCGATCACGTAGAAGGTGTCCTGTTGTAGCAGCTTCCCTTGCGCGGTCAGGGTGCCCTGGCAGAGAGAGAGGCCAGGATGGAGTGAATGAGAGCGGGGAGACGGCCACAGCCCTCTGGGGCCAGGACCACAGACAGGCCTGATCCCCGAAGGTTCAGGGCTCTAGGAAGAGACTGAATTAGGACCCACACACTCATGCAGGGCAGACTCTTGACACTTTCCTCTTCACACAAAGGCCTTAAAAAGAAAAAAAAAGGAAGCCTATGGAGTCACTAAAAAACAACTCCAGGAAAATGCCAGAAGGAAGGTAGAATTAGTAACTAAAAAGAGGTTCGTGAATAATCCTGGCCCTTCTTGTTTTGTATGAAAAAGAGAATAGAAAGCTGGTGACACACGGAGCTGGAACTGGTCGTTTTGTACATGGAGCTCTGAGAACTGTGCCTGTGCCTTCCCTGCAGCATGGGTAGAGGGCCTGGGACACCCTTACAGCCACGCACCTAGAGCTGACCCTTGGCCAGGAGAAGCAAGGTAGGCGAGACCACAGATTACTGGGTGAGTTGGGTTCCTCGCTTCTCTTATCATAGGATGGGGAAATTTGGAAGCCTTAGTCTCTCTAGTCGAAAGGTGAACAGGAGGTGAATATGACAGGTCCTCATATTTTACAGTCCAGTAGATATTTTTCTGCATCCTGTTGTCCTTATGAAAATGACTCCAGCTCCCAGGCCACCCCGCTGAGGAGGTGGAGCCTATCTGGTTCACCAGTTTCTCGTGAGATTTTCAGACACGTGTCTGCATCTTGAAGGGGATACGGCCTGCCCAGTAAGTCTTCAGAAAGCGGTCAGGGAGCCTGTCTTTTTCTACGGCTCTGCAACAACCAGACTCTGGCATCTGGGACGGTTGTCAGAGGCCTCGTCTGGGACGTGCTTTCTCAGGTGGTGACTTTGGCCCTTTAGTGCCCACAGGGCCCATTCCTTTCACATGATGCTTTGTTTTAAACATCACCCAGCAGGGGGGTCATGTTTCTTTTGCGTTCCTGAGAGACGCCTGCCCTCCGCTTGGCTCACGGGCTCCTCACTCTCAAGGTCAGCAGCCAAACAGGCTTATCTCTACCCTGGTCCAAAGTTAATATTAAGCCAGTGGCCAGCTCGCCAGGAGAGCTCTAAAAGCTCTCTTAATATTATACAAAGTCTTGATCATGGGTACAACCCAGCCCACACTAAAGGGAGAGCCAGAGGATTTGAGAAGGAGAGAATTAAAAGGAGGCAGCTCTAACTTCTCCCAGACCCAAAGCCACAGACATGGGGACTAGACGTTTGTTCACTGTCCTTCCCAGTAGGGGAAGGAATGCAGAACAGATTCTCCGCAGCCTGATGAAAACAGAAGATGCTAGTGCCTGATTTAAAAGAGAAAAGAGGCCGGCCTCACGGCTCACTAGGCTAATCCTCCGCCTTGCAGCGCCGGCACACCGGGTTCTAGTCCCGGTCCGGGCGCCAGATTCTGTCCCGGTTGCCCCTCTTCCAGGCCAGCTCTCTGCTGTGGCCAGGGAGTGCAGTGGAGGATGGCCCAAGTCCTTGGGCCCTGCACCCCATGGGAGACCAGTAGAAGCACCTGGCTCCTGCCATCGGATCAGCGCGGTGCGCCGGCCACAGTGGCCATTGGAGGGTGAACCAACGGTAAAGGAAGACCTTTCTCTCTCTCTCTCTCTCTCACTGTCCACTCTGCCTGTCAAAAAATAAAATAAATAAATAAAAAAGAGAGAAAAGAACTGCACACGTACAACACATTTCCTGTGAGGTCTGACTTGGGCCAGAGAGCACAACCAGATGCCATTCCTCCTGCCAATGGTCAGTTCCTCCAGAGGCCCCGAGGAAGCCAAGCCAGATCCCTGCTCAGAAGATAAGGGGACTTCAAGGCTTAAAAGCATAAGAGACTACTTGGTTTGCTCAGAAAGCCTTCGACCTGGTGAACACCAGGGGGGAAAGTGTAAAACTCCACCAGCACAGTTAGACAAGCCACATAGAAACTCAGGTATATGTCTGCTGAGCACGCTTCAGGTCTGCCTTGGAGATCTGAGAACTTGTGAAGAATTAACACAAAGCCCCAACAGCTGCTGTCTAGCTGCTGTCACAATAAGGCATGGAAACCAGACAAGGACACACAGGACAGGCTGGAAGGACAAGGAGGACAAGAGAATGTCATGACTCCAACTCGTTAGGTCAAACCTGAATATACATCTCCTACATTTACTTATGCCACCCATCTCCTTTATAACGAGCCTATTCTAGTTCATTCTGCTTTGGCTGGGGAACCGTTTCTTTCTTAATTATCTCAACTGCTAGGAATTCATTTTCCTAAAAAGAAACAATGACATCTTAGGTTGCAATATTACTGGGAAACAGGATTAGAAGATCTACATCCTTCTCTAAGGGAATCGCCAACTACAAGGATCCGGTCAATAAATGCATCAGTTTCAATTTTATCACATTAATATTCAAAATGGATCATGTTTATTTAATTCATGAGGTTTGGATGCAAACTAATAACAGCCATTTATTAAGTGTCAATTAGGAAAGTCAGTTTGCTCTTCCAAGGTTTGCTGTTACGGGTTGAAGCATTTATCCCTCTTCCAATGCAAATGTTGAAGTCTGAAACTAGTATCTCAGAATGTAACTTATTGGGAGGTGGGGTCTTTATAGAGGCAATCAGGTTAAAGTGAGGTCATCAGGGTGAGTCCTAACACAGTGTGACCAATGTCTCTACAAAAAGGGGGAATCTGGACACGCAGTCATGGATGGAAGGAAGGCGATGTGAAGTCCACAGGGAGAAGCCAAGTGTACATGAAGGTGGACACACACAGGCCAAGGGCCGACACCTGGAACAGATGCCTCCCTCCCATCCCTCAGAAGGAGCCACGCCACCAGCACCTTGGTCTTACACCTTGAGCTGCCAGAACCAGGAGGCAGTACATTCTGTTGTTCAGCCACCCAGTTCTTGGGACTTTGTTATGGCGGCACTGGCAAACTAGCACATTCTCTTCAGCTGACATCCTGGGACATCAACGACAAACAAAAACGACAGGAGAGCATCTGCTTTTCCCACGTAGGTCCCAGTGCCCTCACACGGTCCTGCTGCCCCTCACATTCCTAGCATTTCTCAAATAAGAAAGGAAAGGGCAGAGGCCGGTGCGAGGTTCAGTCATGAGGAACTTTGAGCCTTTCCACCTTGGAATTCTAACTCCAGCCTGGCCAACTGCTGTGTGACTTCTTATTTCTTCCCTCTCACCGGACTTCCTAAACAGACGCATCTTGTAGGCCTGTGAACGGTGGGGGCCGGGGCTCAAAGGGGTCCACAGAAGTGAGGAAGGCAGAGCAACAGGACTTCTCAGGCTCCTGCTGCTCAGAGGACAGGACTCAAAGCATTCCTCGGGGCTCACCTCGAAGCCTTGCAGGCGTCCCAGGTTCATCATGTCATTGCAGCGTTTGGGAACAAGGCACATTAACTCCACTGCTTTCTGCGGGAGAGAACAAGAGTTGCTCAGGGGCAGGACAGCACCCAGACAGGATGCTCGGGGTGAGTCAGGGCTGGGAGACAGAGAAGAACAGCGGTGCCCACCAGCCCAAGGAGCCACATCAATTGGCGGCTGTGTGTGAAGTCTACCTCACTCAGCCCATTCTTTTCCTCCCTGCCCACTTCTGATGACTGATTCCCTTGCCTCCTCATATTTTCTTTCTTCTCTCTGTTGCTTCCTGGATGCTGAAGCAACAGCTTTGCCTGGCTTGTAAAATGCTAGGGGTTTAAACCTAAAATAACCTGCCTGAATGGTCTGTAACCTCTCTGGCTTAAAGTAATCCCCATGGTGACAGTATTTCAAAGGACTTCACTTGGGGGTAATCCTCTGGCTGGGACTGGAATGAAAATGGAATACTTTATACTGGGATTCGTGGGTAAAGTTGCATATTGAATCACCATGCAATAGACACCCAATCTCTGAAGGACATTAAGGGGTCAAATACTACCCTTTCCCACTATGTGTCACTGGGAGCCACAAGAACATGGCAGGACTAAGCTCTGGTCTGGTGCAGGACAGGATTCTTGAGTTCTAGAAAATACCATGTTCATGAACACTTGCCAGTCCTCATCCTGCTGCAAAGGACAGGAGTTGGCCTGGACCTTCTGAAGGGATCTTTTCCCTTGACACGCAGACAACTAATATGGTCCCTAAGAACAGCAAGTATTACAAGCAGAAAACTCACCTCGATATCAGAACACTCCAAGCCAGCCTTCTCGCTGTATCTCAGGAAGTCCTGGCAAGGACGGGAAGCAAGGAAGGGTGTGGGGAAGGGTGAAATCAGTTAGGGAAACAGAGAGCTATAAAAAACTTATCATAAAAATATGCTAACACCCTGGACTTTCCTGCCCAGCAGAGGTGGCTCCAGTTTCTAGTAGTTAAGAATCATAATCATGTTAGACATAATAACACAGAATATGTTACTGTATTCTATGTTTTATATATATACATATTATAGAATATTACCTAGAGTAGCCCAAGTTTCAAAGCTATGGCTAAAAGGAGAGGTGGCAGGAGGGAGAAAGAAGGGCAGGGCGATTATGACAAGAAGGAAAGTTAAGTCTCTCTCCCCCACTCAACCTTGTGTGTGTCCATGGGATGAATCAAGTCAAGTTATTGTTCAAAACAAAATACGGGGGCTGGCGCTGTGGCATGGTAGGCTAAGCCTCTGCCTGCAGTGCTGGCATCCCATATGGGTGCTGATTCATGTCCTGACTACTCCTCTTCTGATCCAGCTCTCTGTTTGTGGCCTGGGAAAGCAGTGGAAGATGGCCCAAGTGCTTGGGTCCCTGTACCCACAGGGGAGACCTGGAAGAAGCTCCTGGCTCCTGGTTTCGGATCCACTCAGCTCCAGCTTTTGTGGTCATTTTGGGATTGAACCAGCGGATGGAAGACCTTTTTCTCTGTCTCCCCCTCTCTCTGTCTATAATTCTGCCACTCAAATAAACAAATAAAATCTTAAAAAAAAAGGTAAAATTTTAGGTATTACTCTAGAGCCTTACCTTTCTCTCTTATATTCCACTCTGATTTGGGGCTCTAATTATTTGTTAAAAGTATCAAGTCAGTGATTGTGACAAAGCAAGAAAGTGAACTGAGGAACTAAAATCAAGAAACCACCGACTCCAAGGGCAGGAACAGCAGCCGTGCGATGTGGGCCGAGGCTGATGGAGTGAGCAGCAGACAGGCGAGAGCCCACCTGTGCCTCCAGCAGTTCACAGTCCTTAGGCGCAGTGTGCTGGAGACAGAACCAGGCCCAGCCCCAGCCTGCGGGACCCCTGTGCAGCCCTGACCCAGGCTCCCCGCTTCTCACCTTCAGCAGCAACTGGTATTTCGTTATTCTCTGAATGGGCTTGATGAGGAAGTCACTGAGCGTCAGCCTTTGACTGATCTCCTGTTTCACCTCCTGAAACACGAGGGAGCTACGTTAGAGACAAGGAACCAAAGATCTGGGTGCTCTGGATCAGGGTTCAAAGGCCTGGATGCCAGCTCTTCTTGTTTTCTTTTTTAATCTTTAGAAATCATTTATTGTACTTTCTTTTTATACTGAAGCTTAAGATTATTAAAAACTGAAAAGCATGCTATTTCATTTAACACATATATAGAGCATTTTATATATGCTAGATGCTGTTTATTTTAAAAATTTTATTTAAAGTATATAAATGTCATGTATTTCCTATATGCAGATTTAGGAACACAGTGATACTTCCCACCCTACCATCCGTCCCACCCATGCTCCCAGGTTTCTTCCTCCTTCCTCTCCTATTCCCACTCTTAATTTTTACAAAGATCTATTTTCAGTTTGCTGTAAACTTATGCCCCTACACTAAGGAAAGAATTCAACAAATAGCATGAAGGAAAAAACACTGTTGCTCAACAGTAGAGACAAGGGTTGTAGACAATCATCACAGATGTAGCCTCTTCAAACTATGTGAGGGGCAGCTTTGCTTACATGATGGCTCATTGCTGTGAACAACACATGACACACCACCAGCGCCTTCTTGCCACGCCTCCCTGGCAGACACCCTCACATGTCAGGCCTCACCCAATCCTGGGAGGTGGCCAGAATGGGTGTTATAGTCTCTACTATTCCTGGGCGAAGTCAGGAAAGGGAGTTCCTCCCAGGACGCAGCAGGCCTAGGGACCAAGGCTCTGAACTCAATTTCTAAATAGTGTTCGGGGCTACTTCTAAGTAATAGCGCAGCCTTTCCACTGACAAAATAAATCCTCAAGGTAGGGCCAAAACACACACTTGAGGGGCTTCATGCCACTTCTGGAAATAGGAGCAGGGCTACGAAGTGACTGCAAAGCCGTCGATCAGGGGAGGGTCCCAGTTGGGGAAGAGTGTGGGTACAATCTGCACTGGGCTTCTAACACAGTCAGTGTTACAGAATTGCTCTGTACATGGAGGCTTCTCAAAGTGGTCCATAGACGGGGCTGCCTCTGTTCTCTCGAGCAAAGGCGCCCGTGGGAATTCAGTTGCAAAGCTAATGGTTGTGCCAAGGCTGTTATGACGGGGTCAGCAGTGCTGGCTGGGGTGGGGGGGTCACTTATAGATGACGGTGTCTGGCATTTCTGAATGTGGCTGTGGTGGCCCGAGGTCCCTCCCCCCGGACCACTCTGGGTTAGTAAAGCTAAGCACCTAACCTCAAAGTAGGCGTCGTACTCTGCAACGATGTACTCGGAGCGTGGCTTATTCTGGCAGTACCACACGTAGATGTGCAGCTTCCGCTCCTGCAAGAGCAGAGGGAGAGACATGCGGGCTGTCAGGCATCCCGTGCCTTCTGCGTCCTCTCAGGGTACTGTGTTGGGGACAAAGGTGTCGCTCACACTTGGGGACACACTGCTTTGGTATGGATGTGGTTTGTTCCCCAAGGGTTCCCGTGTTGAGGGCCTCAGTGTGGCAGGACCTTGAAGAGAAGGGGCCTAGTGAGGGGTCCCTGGAGGTGCTGCCCATGACAGAGATTAAGGTCGACCTCAGGGGACCCCCAGGTAGTTCTCACAAGAGAAGGCTTCCTGCCTTGCCGAGTGATCTGCTCACACACACTCCAGCCGTGACGCCACACCCAGGGAGGCTTTCTCCAGAGACCAAGTCAACCAGGCTTCCCGATCTTGGATTGTCAACTTCTAAAGCCGTGAGCGACATACTTCTCTTCCCTTTATAAAGTTACCCAGCTTTAGGTACTTTGTCACAGTAGCAAAAGATGGACTACTACACACATCAAGGCAGTAAGTATCAAGGGAATAAAAGTAAAGGTGGCAGGAAAGATGCCACCTTCCAAACTGCCAAGAAGTTTTTAAACCATCACGACCACCACCAAAAACTCAGAGGGCATGAGCAGGGGGCACGGCGTGGGAGGGCGGAGAGATGGAACTTTCAAATGAACACACCGGAGCCTGCTGTTGGGCGGGGGAGAAGGTGAAGGGAGAAACTCACGTGTTTAATAAAGAGCTGGGCCAGTCTGTCCTGCTCTTGGATACATTTTTCCAGTTCAGCCAGGAAAAAACTAAAAGGAGAGACAGGGAGGATCAGAGAAGGAAGCCACACTCTTCAGCAGTGTACTATTTCCCGACGATGACAGAAATGACAGCAGATTCCTTCCCAAACCTTCCGCCACAGGTCAGGTGCAAGAGGAGGACTTGAGAGTCCCAGGTCCCCAGGCCACCCCGATCCTCAGGGCAGCACGAACACTTACTCCTTATGCCAGTCATAGATCTGGTGAATATTCCCAAACACGATTTTATCCTTCCCTCGCATATCCTCGGGGACACCCTTTTCTTCTATTCTCTTCATGAAGCCCTGGAGTGGCAGAGGCAATGGTTAGTAGAGGATTTCCACAAGAAGGCTTTCGGGGCCAAGCCCCACGCTGCAGCCCCCATGTAAGTGCACACTTGAGCTCAAGGTCAAGTGCTTCTGCAGTTCCCATTATTCACCCAGGACTTCACCCTGGGAAAAATGACAGGCAAGTGTTTATGGAGCTTCTGGGTCCCTTTCTTTGTCTCCAGTCCCTTTGAGAAAGCAGAACAGACAACAACTATTCTTTCCTCTCCTTTCTGCCAATCCAAGTTCTTCACATTTTTAAAGTCTGAGAATTGGACACATCTGGTTTAGAAATAAGTGTTAATACTTCAGATTCTGTAAAATGCAATCACGTGTCATCTCATTCAGAGTTAAAGTCAGGTTTCGGGGTCGTACAGGCGGCATGTATCCCCGTCGGACAGGCGAGGAAGTCCAGGTGCCCAGACGTCACACAGCCTGTCTGACTTCCTGGGCCTCAGCCCCTCAGTCTCCTGATTCCCAAGCCCTCCGCGCCTGGGCTGAGCTGCACATGGAGGCTGGTGCACCCCTTGATGACGAGAATGCACTTCTGTAACTCGGAATTCAGCTCCTCTATGTGCCAGGTTAGTCTGTTCACACAAGGTTCAGGAGAGGCAAATACAAGTTCAATGTCAGCTGATTTCATAGAACTGGGACTTACGGGTCAGGTGTTAGGAACCAGTAGGAAATGTGGAAATTAGGCACTCAATTTTTAGACTTCATATTCTTTCACTTAAGGTGATTAACAAAAGGGCTCAAAGCTATCTCAACTGTCCATTTGCTTTCATGCAAGTGTCTAAGTTCCTTTAAAATGAATCCCTCTGGAGATAAGTTGACTCTTAACTGTGGCCCCATCAATCATACTTACTGGGGGTTTTTCTTTGTCTTCCTTGCAGCTACAATGCTGACTTTAGAATCTGAGGAAATGATATATGCCCCGTGATTCTACTAGGGTGACCTGCTTCATGCTCTGGCGATAACTGCTTGGTCACCAAAACCAAAATGAAATGGACTTAGCTTTTTCCAAAAGGCTCCCAAAATACTGTACTGGTTGGGCTCCTATTTCCATCCAAGTAGCTTATGATATTTCAAGGGAAAAAGAAAAACATCTAGGGTAGGCATGTGGCCCAGTGGTCAAGTCATCACTTGGGACAACAAAATCACAGATCAGAGGGCCTTGTTCGGGTCTCAGTTACTCAGCCTCCTGCTAACGCACACCTGGGAAGCAGCAGATTATGGCTTAGGTCACTGCTACCCATGTGGGAGACCCAGATAGAGTTCCAGGTTCCTGCCTCAATAAAAAAAAGAAAAACATCTGCATACCTTTTATTTGACTTATTGCCACTTTAATGATCACTTCTGCAGATATTCACAGTAAAATACACGTAAGCTTTAGGTAAAAACAGGGTCCATCATGTTCCAGCTGCAGGTCCACCTAAGCCATCCACTCACCTCCACCACGATTCCCAGGTCCTTGACATAGTCCTTCTCTGTCTGCACCAGCTCATTCAGGACAAACCTGAGAGCAGATTAAGAACAATGAGGGTTCTTCTTTATGGTAAGCAAGAAGTTTCCACTCTTAAGTTCATAGGACAGTTACCTTGGTCCACCAAAGTCCACCAAAAAGACCTGCACTTAGCACCCCGGAAGGTGCTGAGCGATGCCCTCCCTGCATGAGGCCCCCATTCAGGTGCGACCAGAGAAGCTTTTCCTGATGACATAAAATCATCAGATGGAGGACGACACTTGTCACCCAGCATTCTTTCCCCCTTCATGCGTCTCCCTCCCTCATCCATAACCGAGCAATTGCACAGGTGCAGGGCAGAAAGAATGACAACCATTTTGACAAAACTGGGTTATAAAAGCTTTGAGGCCAAAGGATCAACATGAGGTTTTTATTGCTGTATTTCAGCTCCTTTTTTTTTTTTTTTTTTTTTGCTAAACAAAAGGAGAGACATTTGTCTGACGGTGAACCTTTCTGGCTTCAGAGACATAGACATCAAGTGATGCTTTTAAGATACAGAAGTTAAAAATTATTCAGAGAGGTGCCCAGGGTGACTGGCCTGGAAAACCCCCAGGCCAGGCCAGGAAGATGGACTGCTGACGGCCACAGCTCAGCCCTGAACGCAGCACTCCGGGACCCACGGCATGGGAGTCAGCAGATCACAAGGCTGTTTGCTTTCTTGTTTGCTTTTTCCTGTTCATTATTTCTATCTTGTAGAGTATTTACCGCACACAGGTACTTCACTTGGGTTTTTCCATGCTTATTACAAGGTACATGCTGTAAAGCCCTAATTTATATGAAAATATCGAGACAGAAAGGTAACTTGCCCAAGATGACACAGTGAGTGACAGAAGTGGGATTTGGACCCAATCCTACGAGAGTCCAGACGGTGCTTTTTCCCTGCCTGGTAAATGACTAAGATGGATTCTGGAGTCCTCGAGGCCTCGACCTCACATACTCCTCCTTCTTTTTTCTTACATGCAGGCAGTAAGAACTACACATAAATGCTCATGGTTAGGGGTCAGCATTATGGCACAGTGGGCTAAGCCTCGGCCTGCCAAGCCAGCATCCCCTGTGAGTGTTAGTTCGAGTTCCCCCACTCCACTTCCTATCCAGCTTCCTGCCATGAGCCTGGGAAAGCAGTGGAAGATGGCCCAAGTGCTTGGGCTCCTGCCACCCACATGAGAGATCTGGATGGAGTTCCAGGCTCCTGGCCTTAGCCTGGCCCAGTCCCAGCTGTTGTGGCCATGTGGGGAGTGAACCAGAGGATGGAAGATCTCTTTCTCTTTCCATCTTTCCTTCCCTCTCTGTAATTTGGCTCAAATAAATAATTTTTAAAAAATACTTACAGTTGTGCCCAGGGTAGGGTGGGTGCCATGCAGGCTCCTGGGCTCTGATTCCTATTATCTAATTTGAAAGCAGTTTGTGGGGCTGGCACTGTGGCGTAGTGCCGGCATCCCATATGTGTGCTGGTTTGAGTCTCGGCTGCTCTACTTCCAATCCAGCTCTCTGCTATGGGCTGGGAAAGCAGTGGAAAATGGCCCAAGTGCTTGGGCCCCTGCACCCGCGTGGGAGACCTGGAAGAAGCTCCTGGCTCCTGGCTTCAGATCGGCGCAGCTCCAGCCATTGTGGCCACTTGGGGAGTGAACCAGTGGATGGAAGATCTCTCTGTCTCTCACTCTCTCTGCCTCTGTTTCTGCCTCTCTGTAACTCTGCATTTCAGATAAATAAATAAATTAAAAAAAAAGGAAGAAAAGAAAGCAGTTTGCCTAGAACTGCACAGCTTCATTTTTGGTTCAAGTGGCCAAAGGGATAAAGCTCTGAGATGTCAAAGTAGGGCCCCTGCTCAAGGGTCCTAACCGTTTTGACCCCGGGAAGCAATTCTGCAATGCTTATTCCCTAGGCACCGAGACGGCACTGAATTCCTGGGTCTGGAGTCTCAGGGCAGTGGGAAGGAAGCAAAGGAACACACATTTCTTTATCAGACTGCCCAGCACTTCCAACCAGCTCCCTCTCTCTGGTACAAGCATGTGTTTTAGCCACAGGAAGGAACTGGCAAGGCCAAATGAAAGCATTTAGATGTATCTTTAGCATGGCCCAAGTTAGAGCTTGGAAGAGAGTGGTTTTAAAAAAAAAGCCACAGGAAAATTAGAGTGGGAATCTGGGGCTGGGAGGGCCCTCTGGAGATGAAGTGCAGCACGCTGTCTCCAGGCGATATTTTTATCCTCAGCTATTTGCTGGCAGAGGGGGGCTGTCTTAGGCTTCTCAGGGAGCTGTGCTAAGGGATCATAGATGGTGCTGCTGGTGGACCTTGCACCTCTTCCCTTGAAGGGCTGAGGAAGTACCTGGGCAGGTCACATCACATTAAAAGATGTTACTGCAATGACTGAAACGACATACATCTCAAGGCAATGCATCATTCATTGCCAAATAAATGGAATCAGAAATAAAGCAATTTTTTTATGTTCAGTTCTTATTAGTAGAACCCACAGTAGGTTGTTTAAGAAGAAATGTTGTTATCTGGCCCAACTACAATCTTCCAGCTATGGGGCAGATGCTCTCTTACCCTTTCATTCACAACAGTAGGGAGTGGACTCTCAGGGCTTCCCAGTGGCAGCTCCCTCTGGGAGAACTCTTTTTCCTCCATGCTGCTCCTTTCCTCCACCTGGCCTTTGGGCAAATGCTAAAACCTTTTAGAACTGCAGCATGGCCTCATCCAAACTCCCATCTCTCTGAATGCTGCTCTCATTTTTCTTTCTCCAGCTTCTACAATACTACATAATTTATTGTTTATTGTCTGATTTCTCTTATTGGAATATAAACCTGCCACGAGAGCAAAGATCATCCATTTGTTGTGACTGTTTGTCTTATTCACGGATGCATCCCACCTATGGTACATAATAGGTGTTCAACAAATATCTGGTGAATGAACGTGTGCCTAACACTGGAAGGCAAGTAAAGACCACTCTCAGCTTTCTCCTTCTCCTGGACAAATAACTCATTTTCAACTTTCCTCCCTGAAGTCCTTACTTGACCCTTTGATGTCCTGCTGCCAACCTCTGGATGGAGTCTCAGTTCTCAATACCCCTCAGCCATTGGCCTCCCACAGGGTTATAATTAAACGCCCAACTCTCCTGCCTTTCCTCAGGGCCCCAAGGTACAGCAGGCTAGCCTAAGAGTGATAGACAGTAAGAGGAGGGAGCCGTTCTATCAGCCGGATTTTCAGGTGAGCTCAGGATGTGAGTTGAGGGAGGAGAGCCGGGGGAAAACGGTAGTGAAGTTTTATTGCCTGTTGTACCAAAACCAGACAGTAGCATGCACGCCTGGACAATGGCTTAGATGATTGGCCCCAGGCCCATGCAACCCAAGTGGAGAAAGTAGTGACTGCCACCTCCCGGGCTACCGCCTTTGCTTCTGTTGACAAGACTGGACCTCAGCCCCAGTGCTGCCTCAGCCGTGTAACAACAGCCCGACACGCTAAGGAGAATCGGCTTTGTGCATGCCCTGAAAAGTTTCCCTTTGGGGTGGTTTTTCTTGGCTTCTAGTCCATTCACCAACTTCTTGGGGCTCCCCCTGAATACCACAAAGATGATGGGGTAAGTACAGAATTACAGGGCTCATGTACCTCTTGCTCATCTCCCCTATGAGATGGCAGCCCTGTTGTGACACCAAGCCCTCACTATTTATCTCCGGTCATAAATGTCCACTTTGCAAATTTCCATGCAATAGACCTGGTCTTATTTTTGCTAATTTTTATGTCTCTTATCAAGCTAAAGGCGAGATGAGTTTGAGAGAGAAGGGCATATCAACAACAGGGAGGGACTTCACACCTGCCTGCCCAATTGTCACTGCCGCTTGTATGCTCTCACATGTTGAGCTTTGTCCAGCACTTATTACAGTCCTGCTTCCAACAGAGTCAAGCCCCAAACAACAAAACCAAAGTTTTGAAGTTATGGTTTTGTACCAGTGGTGTCTGGTATCTTCTTGATCATCTCAAATAATAGAAGACTGACCCTTTATACCAAGGTAGACAACTTCAAGTTTGCCTTAGCCATGGGTTTTTGTGAAATGGCCTGCAATGTGGATTGTGATTTACCCCAACCATTCAAAAAGTAGAGAAAAGGTTCTCTAAACCCACAAATGGAAGCAAAACAAAGCCTTGGCAGAAGGAACGGGGACACCAGACCTCCATATACTGTCTCCACTGCCAATGGCCCAACATACATACTCACGTGGCTAATGCCTCCCTCTTTCTACATATATCACTTCCCTACATATGGGAAACATCGAAGATTAGGCTTTCTGCCAGGGTTAGGGATTCTCTGATTCTACAGCCCATAGTAATTATCCCACACTTCCCTGAACGTTGTGGTTTTCTTTTTACCAGCATGCTTTAAATTTCTAAGAGACCTCGGTGCTAACCACACTTTGTCAATAATGGCTGCTATTTCACAAAACATACTTCACCTAAAGTTCAAGTCACAGCTCTAGTAGCTCCTTATTTGTAATGTTACACTGTTACGATCTGTGTGACCTTTACACAGCATGAAGCCCATCAGTGGAAGCACAGTGTGGGGAATTCCTCCATCACTCTCCCCCAACCCTTGCACACACACCTGCAGCAGGTGGAATCTGGGTGAGACACTTACATCCTGCCTCTCAGGGCCTTGGCTTTCTGTTCTTCTTCCAGGTTCCTAGGAGGTGTGGGTGGGGTCATCCCCTCATTCAGGCAGCCTGCAGGGTCTTTCAAGGCCCCCCGGTAGGAGCCTCCTTCTAGACTCTGAAAAGAGAATAAACAGCCGTGGAGCAGCGTACACTGGTGTCCCCCAGATGAGCCACCACCAACTTGGAACACAAGCAGCTGAGGCTGTCCTCAGTGAACGACAGGGAAGCTGGCCATCAGAGGCTCCCCTCCTCCAGCAGCAGGAGGCCTAGAACCGCCTCCGTCCCAGGCAATCGGGACCCACTTGGCATGTGTGTGCCACCATCTCCCAGATAGAACACAGCTGTCTGGGTGAGGGATGCAGAAGCAAAGCTAGTCGTTGTGATTCTACCCTAATAAGGAATTAGAAAAGAACACCAGTTGTAGGACCAACCATCAAAAGCTAATTGATAAGGGGAGAAGCAGAGCTTTGTTAAATCTGCTACCACTCTTTTGAAGATATCCACAAGGTGTGGATGGAGAGTCAACAGAGTTAACCGTTCCTAGTCACCTTTGCTACGGTTAGTTATGGAGAGCTTTCTTTCACTTCTTAATCCTTTTCACTGAATTAAGGTACTATAGGATTTTTAAGAAAGAACAAATTAAAAGGGTTAGTACAGTTCCATAGAAGGAGCTAACGGTAAAGGAAACAAGATCCAAAGCCCAGCTCTGCTAGTTGCCAGGTGATCTTACACAGGATGGCTGAAACTGTTCTAGGGTCAGGTTTTCTTAGTGTTCATGTCACATCTGCCCTCTCTACAGATCTAAGGCAGAGACAGAGAAAATAGTTGTACAGCTCTTTGAAAAGCTAAAAATGCTCTACAGTGTTGAGTTATATTACCCCCATTGATAACACTATTAATGACACTCACAATGGTGTCAGTGTTGACAATTTTCAACGTCCTGGACAAAGGACCACCCAGTGACACTTATCATTTGATTATGCAAATCAGCAGAAGCCATGTGGATAAACAGTAAGACTAGAGATCATGGTCATATTCCTATTAGATACTTGTCTATACCTAACACTGGAAAGGTTCCACTTACTAGCCTCTGAACACAGGAGCCCTAAGGTTAAAGCCACAAAGTTAAAAAAGTGCTGAAAAAAAGGCAGGAGGAATAAAAGACCTTAATCTTAAATGGTCTGCACTTGGAGTATCCATCACTAACTAACTTAGCTGCTGTATTTTAACACAGGCCAAATGGAGGTAGGAAAGAACAGGCCAGGGGCTGGTGCTGTGGCATAGCAGGTAAAGCCCTGGCCTGCAGTGCCGGCATCCAAATGGGTGCTGGGTTGAGTCCCGGCTGCTCCACTTTTGATCCATCTCTCTGCTATGGGCTGGGAAAGCAGTAGAAGATGGTCTAAGTCCTTGGGCCCCTGTACCCATGTGGGAGACCTGGAAGAAGCTCCTGGCTCCTGGCTTCAGACTGGCCCAGCTCCAGCTGTTGTGGCCACTTGGGGAGTGAACCAGTGGATGGAAGACCTCTCTCTCTCTCTCTCTGCCTCTCCTCTCTCTATGTAACTCTGCCTTTCAAATAAATAAATATTAAAAAAAGAAACAGTCCAGAGAAATGAACAAAAAGTGAACAAGGCACCTGATGGTCCATTATATGAGAGAAGATGGAGAATACTAAAACTTGAATCTGCAAAGCTTAATGCTGAGAAGAGCTATAAACTCTCCTCTTCTGCAACAGACAAAATGTGCCAAGTGCTAACTATTAATCTGTTACCAACGCCAGAAATTAGAACGAAGAGTACAGGGTCTTCAAGCCCGAGAGAATTTCTTTTAACTTGACCTAAAGGTACTTACAGAACCAGTAACAAGCCAGGGAAGTTGTTACATCCAGAGCAGCAGTATAGGCTAAAAATACAAAAAGGTCAAGCAGGGTTTGGCTACATTTATAGACACAGCATCTGCAGCCTGTTATTAAGGAAATGAGAGTGTCTGGTGCTGAGGCTTGACAAGCCAGTGGACAGGCAGGCTTTCCAGTGACATGTCCCTTGGTGCCATCACCAGAGACAGGCGCTCCAGCAGACAGACCCAGCTGGGGATTGATCTGATTAGTGCCTTTTGCGTCCCCCTCCCACCTTCCCCACTGTGCCTTTGGTGCCCTTGTCCTGTGGCCTGTTGGCAAGTAGGATGATGACTACCAGGACCCAGTCAGAAGCCTATCTCTCTGCCCACAAGGTGCTCCCATGGCCCGACCAGCTTGGTGTGGTCCCCGCTCAACTCTTCCACACAATGAAGGACATCTGAAAAGTCCAATGTGTCACCCAAAGAAATGTGCCTCCTCTCCTCCTGCCTGACCTAGTCTATGAGCAAAGAAATCCAAGTTATTTCGAAGGCAGGACCCTCCGGAGCCGATCAGAAGGATGGAAGCAGTGAGCGGAAGAGGGAGCTGGAAGGTAGGCTAAGCCATAAACCAGGTAAAGCCCCAAATGATGGGATTGCCAAGAAGGTTTATAGTAATTCGAGAGGAATTCTCTCTGAAGACCTCGCCACACGGGGACCCAGCCAAGGGCAAGCAGCGGTGACTTCTAACTGTGTTGCTCCTAGGAGAAAACAGGCAGTGGTGGCTAATTTTCTAACACGGTGAGGACTTCTGCCCCACCTGGGACTCTGAGCCACAACACTCTTTTTTTTTGTGGAGTTTTTTTTTTTTTTAATATTTATTTTTATTTATTTGAAAGGCAGAGTTACAGAGAGGCAGAGGGAGAGAGAGAGAGAGAGAGGTCTTCCATCCACTGGTTCACTCCCCAAGTGGCCATAATGGCCAGAGCTGGGCTGATCTGGAGCCAGGTGCCAGGAGCTTCCTCCATGTCTTCCATGCAGATGCAGGGGCCCAAGGACTTAGACCACCTTGTACTGTTTTTCCAGGCCATAGCAGAGAGCTGGATTGGAAGTGGAGCAGCTAGGACTCGAACTGGCGCCCACACAGGATGCTGGTACTGCAGGTGGTGGCTTTACCCGCTACACCACAGTGCGGGCCCCCACATCTTAACAGGTGAAGAAAAAGGTGCATGAAGAGGGAGCAACAAATGTTCTATCATTAGTCCAAGCTCAGGGGAAATAATTGCAAGTAGGCTTCAAATAGGTGATTAAGTGTAGAAGAAGGCCATTCCCACGTCTAAAATGAACATATTTCCTGTGTGCTGGATCTTAGATCACATACCCATAAAAATATCCTTCCTCTAGGTTCCTGTAAGCACTCCTTTGTATTCAGGCAAGTTTTATGGAGCACATACTACATGCTGAATATGTGCAAAGTGTTGGAGAAACTCCTCGCCCTTTGAAACCTGAGCTGCAGTGGCTCCTCTTCCAGACGGAAGGGAGATCAAGGAAGAGGAATAGGAACAGGCAGAAGAGGGAAGGGAAAGACTTAACAGAAGAGTCAACACTTGAACCGAGGACAGTTGTCCCTTGGTGTCCTGGGGGACTGGTTTCAGGATCCCCTGTGGGTACCAAAATCCACATCAAGTTCCTCACATAAAATTATACAGTATTTACAAATAAGCCACATAGATCCTTCTACAGACTTCATTTTTGAGGGAAGGGCATTCATCCACTATTTGTTGATTTATTTTAAATACTCAAAAAATTTTAACTGACACATAAAAATTACATTCTTCATGTGACATTTCAATACATGTTACATTGTGCAATGTCCAATCAGGGTAAACACATCTTTTTCTTAAAACATTTATCATTTTATTAATCATGAAAACATTCACCACAAAAGTTTTTTTGAGGGGCTGGCACTGTGGCATAGTAGGCTAAGCTTCCACCTATGGCTCTGGCATCCCATATGGACACTGATTTGTGTCCTGGCTGCTCCTCTTCCAATTTGGCTCTCTGCTATGACCTGGGAAAGCAGTGGAGGATGGCCCAAGTGCCTAGGCCCCTGCACCCGTGTAGGAGACCTGGAAGAAGTTCCTAGCTCCTGGCTTCAGATCAGCCCAACTCCAGCTGTTGTGGCCATTTGGGGAGTGAACCAGTGAATGAAAGACCTTTCTCTCTCTCTCTCTCTCTCTCTCTGTAACTCTACCTCTCAAATAAATAAAGAAAGAAATCTTAAACAAAAATTTTAACAAAAATATACAGTGCATTACCACTATCTACAGTCACCCTCCTGTGCAACAGAATGACAGAACTTCTTACTTCTAGGTAACTATAATTTAGTACTCATTAAATCATCTTTTTTCTTCTTTTTTCTTTTTTTATTTGACAGATAGAGTTAGACAATGAGAGAGAGAGAGACAGAGACAAAGGTCTTCCTTCTGTAGGTTCACCCCCAAAATGGCCGCTACGGCTAGAACTATGTCGATGCAAAGCCAGGAGTCAGGTGCTTCTTCCTGGTTTCCCATGCAGGTGCAGGCGCCCAAGCACTTGGGCCATCCTCCACTGCCTTCCCGGCCACAGCAGAGAGTTGGACTGGAAGAGAAGCAACTGGGACTAGAACTGGTGCCTATATGGGATGCCGCAGGTGGAGGATTAACCAAGTGAGCCATGGCGCCGGCCCCTAAATTATCTTTCCTCATCCCACCCTCCCCTCTACTCCCCAGCCTCTGGTAACCACTATCAGATCAAATTTCTTAGACTCTACATATGAGTGAGATCGTGCTTGGCTTATTTCACGTAGCATAATGACCTGCAGTTCTGTCAATGTTATTGCAAATAACATATCATGCTTTTTTATGGCTGCCTAGCATTCCATTGTGCATATGTACCACATTTTTTTTATCCAGTCATCACTTGATGGACACTAATGCTATTTACAAGTCTTGACTATTGTGAAACCTATGCATAGTTTTTTCATGATATGCATTTTTCATGAACCGTTTGAAGATCCCTTGTATGCTCCAATTTCAAAATATCTTGCACCAAAATAAACTTCTTTTGATTCAATTTTTCCATTAACTTTTTGAAATACACTTGAATACCCAGAGGCAATGAAATCAGTACCTTGTAAATACTTTTGCAATCCTTTGTTCACTGAAACATTATTTATAAGGGAAGATATGGAAACATGTCTGTCAATAGACAAGTAGATAAAGAAACTGTGGTACACGTACAATG